CCCGTCTCTACTAAAAATACAAAATTAGCCAGGCATAGTGGTGCACACCTGTAATCTCAGCTACTTGGGAGGCGGAGGTGGGAGAATTGCCTGAACCTGGGAGGTGGAGGTTGCAGTGAGCCAAGATCACGCCATTGCACTCCAGCCTGGGTGACAAGAGCGAAACTCTGTCTCAAAAAATAAAATAAAAAATAAAAAGCTGAACTTTTCATTTTCTCTGTTGAAACCTGCTGACAAGTTAGGTTTGCTTCTAGATCCGAGTGGCCAACTGGTTTGGCCATGGCCCTTTCCATGGTCATGCTTCTGGTAAAGAGATTATCCTCAGGGTAGGGGATGTGATGGGTGTGGTAAGAGGGCTTCACTCAGAGTGTTTGCCAGGGCAGTCACTTTAATGCTTCTATGAGAGCCAGGCTATGCGTGAATACAAAAGCCATATATCGTGCCCTTTAGAGGAGTGTGAGGGTTTAGACTCCTCAGGACCAGCTGAAAACTTCTAGAGGTCCTACACATTGAAAATAATATGGTGCCCTATCTTCCCTGACCTCCCTGCCTTCATAAATAGGTAATGCAAAATAAACGTAATTCTAAATTTTAGATTAAGTCCTCTGGTCCCAGAATGGATGACTAGTTAGATTTTTTTTTTAAATAATGCAATCCCAGCACTGTGGGAGGCCAAGTGGGTGGATCCATTGAAGCCAGGAGTTCAAAACCAGCCTGGCCAACAAGGTGAAACCCTGTCTGTACCAAAAAAGATACAAAAAGCAACCAAGAGTGGTGGTGTGTACCTGTAGTCCCAGCTACTTGGGAGGCTGAGGTGGGAGAATCACTTTAGAAGGTCACAGTGAGCTGTGATCGCGCCACTGTACTCCAGCCTGGGTGACAGAACCAGGCCCTGTCTCAAAATAAAATAATGTATCATAAATAAAACAAAATAGTGCATCAAATATCAAATTGACCCAATTTTTTTTTCGCCTCACATGTTTTAGGTACCCATGTTTTGCCCAAGGACAAATTGAGTCTTTGTGTTGTCTGATCCAATGTTAGGAGTTTCTGATTCTTCTGAGGAGCTGCCCTTTTCCAAGGATTTGGGGGCAGGAATTATGTTACAATGTCAAGAATTTTGAAGTTAAAATTGTTTTTGTTTATTTACAAATGTCTTTGTCCGAACAGAACTTTAAAGTAGCTTTGAAATTTTTCTTCAAGAAATGTATTTTCTTTTTGAGTGTTCCTTGATGAAATCAGTCTTAATTTCAGTTCAACTAGTGTGTAAAAACACACAGTGAGTGATTATTAGTCCCCGAAGGAGGCAAGACAGATGGAGCCTAGAATGGAATTGGCTTTATGATTAATTGAATCCTTGAAGAGTTGAATAGAGTTAGAGCTGATTCGGCCCAATCAGCGCCTTGAGACGGCTGGTGCTGTCCCGCGCCTGGGAGAGGAAAGGGTCACAATAACCCAGATTTATCCTCTATTAAAATGGATTGGATGTATGCACCAGACGGTTCCCATTTTTAAACCATTGATGCAGGATAATTGGAATGGAAACAAACAAGATTAGAACTAGATTACAGGTATTTGTGCAAGTTGCCTCCTAAATCAATCAGAGTCCATGATTTGTTCAGAGGGTGCATTATCATTAGAGTGAATCATTGAAACTCAGAGGCACATCTGGAGCTGTCCAGCCAGGAGGGGAGGCAGGGGAAGGGCAGTAGAGAGCTGCTTGGAGTTGGGAACTAGGTACAACTCCAGAGTGCTTTTCTGTCTTTCTGGGCAGAAGTCTTCCAGAGAGAATTTAATTTTGCTCTTTTTTCTTTCCAGCAGGGATGCATAATGTATAGGTTTGAAATAACTGCCTCTTCACTTTAGTGAATGGACACTTTTTTAATGTTTGGATCAAACAGACACCTGGGGTAGCTGCTGCCTGTGGGGACCCTGCAATCCACGGGGAGGGTAGGGAGAGGGCCTGGCGCTGTAGGTGGACTAGCCATATTAATCACCAAGTCCGTTAGGAGGATGGGTGCCCTGCTGCCTTGCCAGGGGGCCTGTTAGTACAGAACATCATCTGCGGAGCTAGAGATTGCAGGGTTTGCCTTCATCAGTGGGCTTTACTTCACTGGCCAGGCACTGAGGAAGCCCACGTTCCCGCCCACGGCTCTGCCACCACCTATCTCTAGCCGTGGCCATGGGGTGGGAGGTGATGGAAACATGTCCAGGGACCCCTGGACATGGGATACAGTCTTGGGTTGACAGGCAGAGAACTGACATTCAAGTATCATTTTACTTCTGTGGGACTTTAAGTCTCTCTGTGAAAACAAGAGCACTAGATACGAGGTTCTTTCTGGCTTGAGAAGTGTGCGGTGAGTTCTTTCCTTCCTGAATTGTATACCAATGCCAAGTCCCTGGCAGCATGCTGGGTTAGGCCCATAGAAGCTTCATGTGATAGGCAAGTCTCACCATTACCTTTGAACTACACTGGTTTGTTTCTGTTCTTTTTTCCATTTTGAGCTGCCGAGAGTCAGGCTGCAGGCAGCTCATTTACACGGGAGTCAACCGGAAGGAAGGTGGCTTGAATTCTACTTTCGTTTTGTCATGGGAGGTGTTTTCCTGCGGAATTGCTAATCAGGCAGGTCAGAGGGAGCCATAAGGGATCTCACTCCTCCCTAGATGGAAACAGGTACAGCAAAGCCTCTCAGAGGAGGCCAAAAACAACTCCCCTGACAGCATTTCTTAACTCTGGCACTCTCAAAATTGAACATACTTAAAATATCCCCCAGGGGTGGAGGTGAGGTTTCTTAGTCCTGCATCAGAGCTGGTGAACCAGGGCCCATGCCACACCCTTAGGGTGCTGTAGAGATGAGAGCTGAGCCCTGCTTCTCTTCTCTCCATGTGCCCACTGCCATGTCCTGCCATTACCTCGGCCCCTCTAGCTGCTCTGGCTGTAGCTTCCACTGCTGCCATTGTGCCAGGCTCAAATGAGTTTAATTTGCCTATTTTGCTGGTGTCCCCTTTGTGAAGAATAGCGCCTGAGAAGCATCTCATCCCCGTGTCTGATACAGCCTTTGTTCTTACCAGAGGCATCGCCCTGCTTTCCAGCTCAGCCTCAGCTGGACCCTTTGCCCACACCCTAGCTTGGGCCCTCAAGAGCAAGCAGAGCTCAGATTTTCCTTCTTGCTTTTGTCTGGGTATAAGGGGATGGTAGGGGTTGGTAATCCCACTTGGGAGGCTATGTCTGATTCGTTAGAGCTCACAAGCCTCAAGAATGCATAAGAAACTCGGTGTGGTGGCTCACGCCCGTAATCCCAGCACTTTGGGAGGCTAAGGTGGGTGGATCACCTGAGATCGGGAGTTCGAGACCAGCCTGGCCAACATGGCAAAACCCCATCTCTACTAAAAATACAAAAATTAGCCAGGCATGGTGGCGCATGCCTGTAGTCCCAGCTGCTTGGGAGGCTGAGGCAGGAGAATCACTTGAACCTGGAAGGCACAGGTTGCAGTGAGCCAAGATCACTCCACTGCACTCCAACTTGGGTGACAGAGTCTCCAGAGCAAGACTCTGTCTCACAAACAAAACAAAACAAAACAAAACAAAAACAAAAAACATGAGGGAGGGTTGGTGGTATAGTATCAGTCCTGCCTGAGACTAAGTAGTCTTTGGCATCCAAGTTCTAAGGAGTTCATTTCTGTTTTATACTTGAGCCTGGATATTACCTCTCATCTGCCTTGAGTGCTGTTTCTCCTGAAGTCCTGCAAGTGCAGCTGCTCTATTCAGTGACAAGAGGACAGACCAGACCCTTGAGCCTGCTGGTTATATAAGGTGCAGGAGAACTTATTCAGTGCCCTTCTCAGCCTTTGATTTTTCAGATCTTGATTGGAACCTATCCTCTGCACCAGGGGCGCATTCTAGCTGCCTTTGCTAATCCCCCGACATAGCCCAGTGTGAGAGGAAGCTTTGATTTTAGCCTTCAGGATGACACACACTACTTGTGGCCCCCTGGCCCACCTATCTGCCTGATGCCCAGAGCTGTGGGCAGGGTATGTATCATGGAGATGGCTGGATGAGCTGTTTCCAGCAGAGGAAGCTCTTGTCTAGGGGTGGTTAGGATCCATCTCTGGGAGGAGAGGGATGTTCACTTGGCATGTGTCTCACAGAGACTGTCTCTGTCTGCTTGGGCATCACTGTCATTCATGTTCATAGTTTCTGCCAGGCCTCACACTTGGGTGTAGAGTTCTGTGTTGGGGAGGGGTGGAGCATGGGAGTCCGGGCAGGGTAGAGTGGGTAGTTAGTTGGACAGGAATCTCCTTGGACACACATCTGTGTGCCTCATGGGTAAGAATGGTCCTGTCCGTGCCCTGCCTTCCTTTGTGTGGCACTCCAGCCTCTGACTACTAAGTAGGTGTGAATTTCTTTTTTTTTTTTTTTTGAGACAGTGTCTCACTCTGTCACCCAGGATAGAGTGAAGTGGCATGATCTTGGCTCACTGCACCCTCTGCTTTCTGGGTTCAAGCGATTCTCATGCTTCTGCCCCCCTGAGTTGCTGGGACTAATAGGTGCATGCCACCGTGCCTGGCTAATTTTTGTATTTTTAGCAGAGAAGGGGTTTCACCATGTTGCCCAGGCTGGCCTCAAACTCCTGACCTCAGGTGATCTGCCTGCCTCAGCCTCCCAAAATGCTGGGATTACAGGCATGAGCCACCACACCTGACTGGTAGGTGTGATTTTTTTTTTTTTGAGACGGAGTCTCGCTGTATCGCCTAGACTGGAGTGCAGTGGTGTAATTTCGGCTCACTGCAACCTCCGCCTCCTGGGTTCAAGCAGTTCTCCTGTCTCAGCCTCCAGAGTAGCTGGGATTATAGGTGTGTGCCACCACGCCCAGTTAATTTTTGTATTTTTAGTAAAGATGGGGTTTCACCATGTTGGTCAGGCTGGTCTCGAACTCCTGACCTCGTGATCCACCCGCCTCAGCCTCCCAAAGTGCTGGGATTACAGACGTGAGCCACTGTGCCCGGCCAGGTGTGATTCTTGATGGCACACAGGAAGAGGAAGACTAAGCCAAGGAGTGGTCATGTCTAAGGGCTTCCCACCAAGAGGATGCTTTTTGGAATAGTGCTTGATGCCACCCTCCACCCATGGGTGTTTTGTTAGAAGGTTAACTTTGCTCTACATCTGAAAAGAACTATGCTAGGGAAGTTCTGTCCTAAGGAGATGCCATCCAGGGATGCAGAGGGCCCCAGAGACCAGGAGCACAGGCATCCCACTGACTTGTACAGTGACCTTGGCCAAACCCCTTGGCCTCTCCTGCCCTTTACTGTAAGTGGGGAATATTCTCCTACTCCTCCTGGAGCCATGGAGAGATAGATGAAATTGTCCCTATAAAATGCTCTGATTGTCTTGGAAGAAAAATGTTGTATCACTGCCAGTTGTTGTTGTTATTAATAGTGACACTTAAAAATCGATAGGGCATTGCTCTGAGGAGCTGCAAATACTGCCCACGGCTGGCTGCTTTCCAGTTTATTCTCACCTTTTCCTAATGGAGGGAGGGGCAGATGCTGCCCACCCTGCACACCTTGCTGGTGGTTGGGAGGATTAATCTTGAGGTAATGAGAACAACTGGGGCCCATGAACTGGACAAATGCATTTGCCAGCTGGGCTTGTTGCCCATGGCAAGCATGCTCAGGGAGGCTAGCTCGTTTGACAAAAGTTTACTGAATTTCAACTCTGTTACACTCTTAGCGGATAGGAAGATGCGTTTGGCATGGTTACTGCCCTCAAAATGTTTAGCATCTAGACCAAGACATGAAGAATATTTAGAAAAAAGAGTACCTACAACGTGTCAGGCACCGAACTAAGAGAGTCACTACATGTTCTCATTGCATCTGGCCAAGTAAGTACTATTATGGAGTAAAGACAGTTACTATTTCCATTTTATGCGTGGAGAAACTGAGGCTCCGGGAGGTTAAGTACTTACCTAGTGTCGCCCAGCTAGACTGTGTCAGAGTCAAGACATGAACCCAGGCAGCATGACTTCAAAGCCAGACTTTTAACCACAGTGTGGTGCCAAGTGGTGATAAATGCTGAGAGAGAGAAAAAAAAAGAAAGAGAGATTGAGAGCACGCGAGAGCAGGCGTGAGCGTGGGAGAGCAAGCGCTTTTCCTACAGGACTGACTTGGGTGAGATTTGCGCATCTGGGACAGAACAGGAACTCTGCAGTCCCTGCCCGCCACTGGCCCACATACAATTTGGGTTCCTGTTGTTTTCTCTGTCCATGAATCATACTGAGCTTTACTCCTTGCCTTTATTTTCATGTGCCATCAGTCAGATCTAATCCCGGGGGAAATATCCTGGTGCATGTGTATCAGCAGTGGGCAGAGGATAAGAAACTTGATTTCAGTGCCTCACTAGTCCCATGAAATGACTCTCATGAAATACTCCCGTATGATCTGGACTCTGGGGAGGATAATTTGGGGACTCTCCCCTCCTTTTTTGTTACATTGGTTCTGGTGCCTCTGTAGTTGGATTCTCCAGTGGAGTCCTCCATTCACTTGCTGCCTCTCACCAGGGAATCTTTTGGGGTCTATTGAGAACCTGAGTCACCTCTGAGGCATGAGTGCCATTCTCAGCTTGTGGTCCCAGACCCCGAATGCTTCTCACAAGAAATCTCCTTCTTACTAGAGACAGGCACCCAGGGTGAACCTTTTTTTTTTTTTTTTTTGAGACAGAGTTTCACACTGTTGTCCAGGCTAGAGGGCAGTAACGTGATCTTGGCTCACTGCAACCTCTGCCACCTGGGTTCAAGCAATTTTTCTGCCTCCAGCCTCCCAAGTAGCTAGGATTACAAGTATGCACCACCACACCCAGCAAATTTTTGTATTTTTAGTAGAGATGGGGTTTCTGCATGTTGGCCAGGCTGGTCTCAAACCCCTGACCTCAAGTGATCCGCCTGCCTTGGCCTCCCAAAGTGCTGGGATTACAGGTGAGAGCCACCATGCCTGGCCCAGGGTGAACCTCTGATAAGAACGTGAGGCCGCCATGGCAGCATTAGACCTGCCACACTGGGAGGAGATTTTGCCTGTTGTCACCAAGCATAGGAGAGGGACTCTGCCATTGGGGAGGGGGTCAAGCACAGTATTTTTAGCAAGCAATCCTTTATTGTTTATTCAGCCACTTTAAAAATAGATACCACCCTTTCTTTCTAATTGGCACCATTTTTCATCCTCTGTCCTTGCTTTTCATACACTGAGCTGTTCATGAATATTTATTTACCTTCCCAGAGGCAACTCCATATATGTGTGTGTGCGTGCGTGTGCCTCTAAAACTCACTGCCCTCCTTCCTTTCCCTCATGAAAGGTGACACAGTGGAAGTCCAGGATGGAAGGGCAAGGGCCCTTGGTTTGAATACCTTTCTTGATGCTGCAACTGATGAATTTCCAGACCTCTCTTTTGGACCCCTGCTTGTCTCTTAGGTTACCTCCTTCCCTGCCATGGGACTCATAGACTGGTTGTCCAAACTGTCCATGTTTTTTAGCACTCAGCCAACCTTAAGCACCCATATCACACCTCCAACCTGTTTGCCTGACTGAAATGTTTCCCCTTGGCAGTCAAGTCTAGGATCCCTGAGGTGCTTTGATGAAGCACCCTGGCTTGGACATTCAGCTCTTCAGACTTATTTCTTTGTTCTTGGCAAAGGCTATAGAAAAGGCAAGTTCATAGGCAAAATGTGGAAACAACCCGAATATCTGTCAACTTTATCTTTTGACTTCATCTCTTTTTCCTCAGTATAGCCGCTTCCCGTCAGCCATGCTGACACACAGGCCCCTAGCGGTTTTGTAAAGCAAGAGCCTAGAGCCCCCTTTGGGGGTGTTGCTGTATGCTGAGGATTCTGGAGAGAACCTCCGCCATGTGACTGAGCCCTTCTGCCTGAGTTGTCCCCATTCCTGAGCCATTGTTCTGTCTTTTGCTCACCCGGGTGGCTGAAAAGACAGGATGACTACCTGAGCTTTTCAGCCAGGGAGTTTGTTATTGATGATGCCGTTCACTTCTCAGGAGTTTTGCATCTAACACTGCCCCTATGCTCTCGTGGAAGACCACATTCTCTCACTCTTTACAGATCCTCTAGACAGAAATGATTCCAGATATCATTATGTTCACTCCTGCATCCTGGCAAGGAACCCTCTCTCGTAGCCCATCCCAACACTCATCTTGTCTGGCCTTAAAAATTCATTTATTCGTTAAAAAATATGAATTAGCCGGGTATGGTGACTTATGACAGTAGTCCCAACTACTGAGGAGGCTGAGGTGGGAGGATCACTTGAGCCTGGGAGGCAGAGGCTACAGTAAGTGAGATCACGACACTACACTCCAGCCTGTGTGACAGAGTGAGACCCTGTCTCAAAAAAAAAAATTATTAAAAAATGTGATGACTACCTATTATGTGCCAGGCATTTTGCTAGACTGAGGATATGGTGGTGAACAAGACAGATAGGTGTTTCTTTTTACATGTCAGAAGTTGATTTTTTAGTCAGTAGGTCATCAAAATTAAATACTCTTGTGCTTCAAAAGATACTATCAAGAAAGTGAAAAGGAAAACCACAGAATGGGAGAAAATTTGTATAAATCATATATCTGGTAAGGGACTTTTACCTAGAATACGTAAAGAATGTTTGCAACTCAACAACAGAAAACAACCTAATTAAAAACTCCTACAATTCTACAATAAAAAGCTGACCCAATTAAAAAATAGGCAAAGGATCTGAATGGACAGCTGTCCAGAGAAGACAATGCACATGTGCAGTAAGTACATGAAATGATGCTCAACATCATTAACTCCCAGGAAAATGCAAACCCAAACCACAATGAGAGAACACTGTGCACTCAAAAAGATAGATAATAACAAGTGTTGACAAGGATGTGGAGAAATTGGGACCCTCATATACTGCTAGTGGGAATGTAAATTGATCCAGCCATTTTGAAAAACACTACTAGTTCCGCAAATGGTTAAACATAGAGTTGTCATGTGATCCAGCAATTCCACTGCTAGGTGTGTACCCAAGAGAAGTGAAACCATATTCCACACAAAAACTTGTACATGCATGTGCATAGCGTCAATATTCAGAACAGCCAAAAAGTGGAAACAACCCAAATATCTGTTGACTGAGAAACGGGTAAATATAATGTGGTATATCCATACAATGGAATATTTAGCAATAAAAAGAAATGAAGTACTGATGTGTATTATGAATGGATGAAACTTTTAAAAAGTCGAAATGAAAAAAGATAGTCACAAAGCACCACATACTGGATGATTCCATCTCTGTGGAATGTCTGGAATATTAAAATCCGTAGGGCCTAGTGCTGAGGGAGTGGGAGTTAGGAAGAGCTGGGGGGGCACTAATAGGTATGAGGGGGCAATGAAAATGCCTTAAAATTGTGGTGATATGTTGCACAACTCTGTGAATACACAAAAAGCTATTGAATTGTACACTTTAAATGGGTGAATTGTGTGGTATGTGAATTTTACCTCAGTAAATCATTTTTAAGTCAGTAATATGTGTTATGAAGAAAATAAAATAGGATGATAACAGGGTTCTTTAGATGAGTGAGTTAGACTTTTCTGAAGAGATGTCATTCTGGCCTAAACTCAAATATAGATGGAGTCAGCCATATGTACATTAGGCCAAGGGTTTTCCAGGCAGCAGGAATAGCCAGTGCAAGGGTCCTGAGGTAGGGACAAGCTTGGCTAGTTGAGGAAGCAGCCAGAAGGTGAGTGTGGCTGGAATGGAGTGAGCCAAAGAAAGACTAAGAAGAGGTGAGGTTGGGGAAGTTGGCAGTGCACCTACAGACCTAGGTGAACTAAATTTGGATTTTATTCTAACGGTAGCAGGAAGCCACTGATGTCTTTTAATTAAGGGAGTAACAAGATCTGATTTACATTTTAAAAATGATCCCCTGGCTTGGCCCAGTGGCTCACACCTGTAATCCCAGCAGTTTGGGAGGCCAAGGGAGGTAGATTGCTTGAGTCCAAGAGTTTGAGGCTGCAGTGAGCTATGATTGCACCACTGTGCTCCAGCTTGGGTGACAGAGCGAGACCCAGTGTCAAAAATAAAATAAAATAAAATAAAAAAATAAAAGATTCCTTTGATTGCTTCACAGGAGAGAAGGAACTCTTCGTGGTTTCAGACTACAGCGCTGCCTACCTTGTTATCTTAAATCTCTCACGGGAGGAAGCTCTTCCTGGTATCTAGTTCAAGTCACCTCCTGTCATCAGGATTTTGGGTGTTAGATCTGATGGCTGTGATAGTGCTCCATAACTAGGAAGCTTATTGTTCCCCAGATTAGGCTATAGAGTCAGAAAGCTTCGTACCTTTCCATGTTTGTGGCTACTCTCATCATAAGATTGTGGCTATCCAGACTCAGGACCGTGATGTCTGCCTGATTTTCCATTGCTAGGGCTGTCTTTGGCTGTGGCACCTGGTCCTAAGATGAGTAGAGCAATCCCGCCACTTCCACCAGCTAGCAGCATACCTACTTCCTTCCTCTGAGGTGGAGGACAATCTGGAGGGTTAAGCAACACAGGGTGCTGTGTGAATGGGCTTTCTAATGGATCCAGGTAGCTCTTGAGAAACTGTGTGAGAAGCTCAGGATGTTGTGAGAAGCTTTCGGGGAGTCAGCTCAGGATGGAGGTGCACTTCTCTGGGAAACGTGATGGATAGCACATAGTGATTAGAGCTTTGCTTGCTCTACAAATGTATTTTTAAAATTTCATATGTATTGTTTCCTCTGACTAAGTAATATATTCTCAGTGTAAGCTTTTCAAACATTAAAGTAATATGTAATATAGAAAGTTGAAATTATACCAAAAAGACATAGATGAGTTACAGAGATGAACTCCTAATGGTGGTTTGTTTACTCATGCAGCAAATATTTATTGAGTCCCTACTATGTGCTTCCTCTGAGGATTGCGATGAAAAATAAGGGAGGTAATGGCTGGCATAGTGGCTCACGCCTGTAATCCTAGCACTTTGGGAGGCCGAGGCAGGCAGATCGCCTGAGGTCAGGGGTTCGAGACCAGCCTGGC